ACCACACCATTCGATAGAGAATTTAATTCTGTATCCAACACAACCATTTAAAACACCAGCACAGATACTGAAATGAATATTGGCAAAATAAATCGAATATCGTGCCAACTTTCCTTACGTTGCCTGAACTCCATAACGATGGAACAGTTGCAACCGGTTCTTTCTGAGATTAAATCGGTGGAACTTTTGCAATATTTACACGGAAGCTGCGTCACGCTATTTCCCCTCTACTTCAAAATCACCTGTCATAAAGAAATAGACAAAGTTTGCAATTTAACATATTACTATCTTCCATTATAGATAAGTTCAGATTTACCGTCGGCAGGGCGTAGCCGGGGGGAGGGGTGCCCTAGGGGCACGGGCACCGCCTTGGAGAAAAAAGACTGAAGGGGAGTACAGGAATGACGATACTATTCGTAGGATCCAAAACTTTCTTTGCTAGCATTCACCCCCCTTAGAAAATTCCTGGCTACACCACTGACTGTCGGTACTTATTGGCTTATACAAGAGTACGAGAGCTTTTCCGATTAAGATTTACTTCGCGCATCCGACAGTTACAATATGTGATATCTCCAATCACAAGACTTTCGAATCCTTTTCGTTCAAACATCTCTTGTCCATAACTCAATCAAGGAAATAGTAGAATGCACACTCAATGATCTTTACACCGTAGTAGTAGTACAACTATCTGGTTATTACGAAATCGTTCCCATTAGTACTTGTTCTGGATTTTTAAAATCTTCTATTGCGAGCAGCCATTTTTTGAGTATCTTTCGTAGCGCAGCCGCATTGCGCGCATAATCGAGTTGATCATAAAAAAATATTTTTATCGTAGATTCACTTTTTTAACATTCACTGTCATACACAACCCGTTCCACGAATCATCATTTAGCATGCATGAGCAGGCAAAAGAGTTATCACCGTCATCTACGTTGCATGCGACGAACTGTTCACAATGCATTGTTTCATTTTCTCAACGACGTATATGGTTGGATCTTCAGCTTATCAAGGACTCGTTGACACAGCCAACTTTCACTAATATTATTATACCTGTAATCGTGAAGAGCAGCACTGTGTCAATTGAACGCGTTCGTTCAGCTGTTCTTAGTGTTCTCCTGCAGCATAAAATTCTCCGAACAAGTGTTCTTCTCCATCCAAAAATCAATCAACTTGAGAAAAAAGTACAACCCGTTGCTAATAATGATTGTTATTCGTTTCAGTTGACATGTGGTATCGATGTAGGACAAGACATTCATAATCTATTATCGGCCGAAACAAGACTTCATTTTGCTGATATTGAAAACGGTCTACTTCTGCGGTGCCACGTGATAAAAATCAGCATTACGGACGTCGGACATTTGTATCCAGGTGACTTAATTGTTTTTTCAGTACATCCCATTGCATTCGACGTAAATTCTATCAAGCTCTTTTATGATTCGTTCGTTGAAGCATACCACTATGGCAGAGGTAACGCTACGCCTCTTCAATATATCGATTGCACTCTGTACGAAAACGCGGCAGAAACTCAAACAAGGAACTTTTGGTCGATGTTAATGCATAACTACAACTGGAATAAAGATAATCCATTACTTTCTATCTCTAAAAGTGACAGCAACATACGATCTGGTTCGCATCATTCTGTAATCTTAACTCTTGAGAACAGCCTAGTTGACACACAAGAGAAATTTGTTCTATTCCACGATATCTCAATATTTCAACTAAATTTAGCTTGTTACTTTGCTTTTCTCTATTCACTTACGAATGGAACTATAACTGATCTATCCGTAATCAGTTCGGTCAATACTCGTTCGTTACCTGAAATGACTTCAATAATTGGTCCATTTATTAATCTTCTGCCTTATCGCATTCAGATCATTCAAAATGAATCATTTTCTGACTTCATACTACGAGTGAAACGCCTTTGTTCAGATATACGTGAGCATGCGTTATATTTTTACCAAACAAATTCGGATCCCAACAATGTTCCAGTGATGCAAAAAAGCGCGATTTATTTTGAGTATGTTCCCAAGTTGTCATCTTCTACCCATGAAACACCATCGCAGGACGGAAAGTGGGATGCTACATTCGATCTTTATGAAGAGAAAACATGGACGCTTAATTGCAACACGACACCATATGATTTTTCCTTAACTGTGTTTCATGATAACAAAGCGAAAACAATCCAGTACCTATTTCAATGCAGCGCACAATTATGTGACCGGAACGTCCTTAGTGAAACAAGTCAGCTGTTTCTAGACGTTCTCACGCATTTACTTTCTTCAAACAACGACGCGTTCCTACAACCGTTGTCCTTTCTACCAACAGATGAGATTACCGCCACGACTTTTCATCGCCTACCTAATGTACTCAACTCTGGTATGCTATTCGCATTTTTTTATGGTTGACTTTTACCACTGAAATATTGAAAGATAAAAAGGATCATAGATCGATTACGAAACACAGCAAATTTTCACAACTAGACTTCTCTACTAGTTATTTTTAAACACTGTATCCACCATCCTCCTAATAACTTCCATTATTGATTTGATTCTCTCCTTATAGGACCAGCTTCGTATGCACAAGCTCGCATTTGGCTAGATGAACAGGTTCGTTTCGATCCAGACAAACCTCAAGTTGCCATCTACAATATGCCGTTTCTCTATCACATCTTACCATCAGC